ACTTTTTATTTTGTACAAGTTGATAGTTTTTAATAATTACCCATTATAGGGGCGCCTGGGTGGCTTAGTGGGTTAAGCCTCTGCCTTCGGCTCAAGTCATGATCTCAGGGTCCGGGGATAGAGCCCCGCATAAGGCTCTCTACTGAGAAGGGAGCCTGCTTCCCCCTCTCTCTCTCCTGCCTCTCTGCCTACTTGTGCTCTCTCAGTCAAATAAAAAAAATCTTTGAAAAAAATAGTAGGTACCCATTATAAATTTAGCACTGTATTGTATATAATGAGAAAAAAAGATATAATGCTTGTCTTCCAGAAATTTCAATGTTTGGTGAGATAGGACAAATACAAGAATGATCAAGAAATAACATATTTTGAATCACTGTGAGATTCAGACAGTGAGATACAAACAGTATATAAACTGTGAGTATTCAAACTGTAAGATATAGAGAGTATATAAAAATTTATAAGGCAGATTACTGGAGTCAGGAAAAATTTGAGTTATCTTTTACAAAACAATTTAAAAGTCACTGAATAACTGACTTATTGTTTAAATGAACAATCTTTAGTATTCCAAAATATTTTATTCCTAGTGTTCCTAGAATATTTTACTTGAATTACTATCTAAAATTACCTCATTAATGACAAATAACTTGTCTTTACGATCCATTTTTGTATCTATAAAAAGAAAAAAAGAAAGTAAATAAAAGATTTCAAAGCTACTTCAAACATACCACACATGCTTTCTAAAAAAGTATTTTAAATGTTTTTACAATCTTCAGTTTAAAAGAGATTTAATTAATTTTCAAAATTATTAGACCTAAAAACACATGACCTCTTTAAAAATCTTGTTCATTTTTTATAAAAATGACTAGAAAATAGTTCTCGAGAATCATAAAGTATGATCTAAGCAGTGTTTCTTGTCAACTTTACATATTGTGTATGTCCCTTTCAAATATGGAAACATTTTCACAAACTGAGCTATGTTCTAGGATTGCAGTTTAAGGAACACTCACTGAAGAAACTAAAATTTGAACCGAAGGAAATGGATTGAAAAAACTGTTTCAGTTTATCACAGGGAAAAAAAAGCAACAATATAAATTAAACCTCTTCTGAGTTTCAGAGATATAAAGATATAAGAGCAGACCCCAGTTTGAGAAACAGTGGTCTAAAGAAGGTCTAAGGTCTAAGGAATGAAAGCCAAAAGCTCCTCCTAACACAGGCACAAAAACAGCTGTGTGACGGTACTGCCACAGTTCTAAACTTGAAACTTCACATGCCTGCAAGATACACCATTGCTAAAGAGAGTATCTTGGCATTTAGACGTAGGTTGAGCCCCAAATTAAAGGTGCTTGAAATCCCACTCCAGCCCATTAACTTTTTAATACGAACAGGTTTTTCTGTTTGTTTTGTTTTTAATGCCAGACAGTGGGGTGCCTGGGTGGCTCAGTGGTTAAGCATCTGACACTCAATCTCAGCTCAGGTTTTGATCTTGGGGCTTTGAGTTCAAGCCCTGCACTGGACTCCACGCTGGGCATGGAGCCAACTTTAAAAAAAAAAAAAAATGCAGATACACGAAGTCCTCAGTTATTTAGAAGAACAACCAGCTCATGACCTCTGAGAACATTACAATTAAGGCATTCCTGGATCTTCAAGAAATGTTTTGATAACAGTAGGATATCTAAGAAAGTGAAGGGAATGTTTAGTGAATAAAGTATTTCTAACAAAATATTAATTGAAAAAATCTTGTCACTGTTCTGAGGCAAAAGAGTTCTTTACCTGATAAGGCTGAACAAGTGACAAGGTTCAACAATGACTTAAAGTGAGAATATAGAGACAAGTTTATAAATAAGAACTTGAAAAGTGTATGATATAAAGGCACCTGCTTTAGAATGAGGCATCAACATTCTCAAGTCTTGCATTAAATGTCTCGTTCTGAAATTTATTCCTCTAGAAGAGAAGATAAGAATCCGTTCCTTATTTTTCCACTTGCCCTAAAGAAAAAGAAAATGTTAAGATTTTTAAATCTCATACTCATACCTTGTTTTTTTTAAAGACAGTTTTAGAAGTATCTAGTCATTAAATACTCCATCACCCTCTAATGTATCAAGCCTACGTCCTTAAATCTGCCTCTCTCCCATGTGTGTAATTCAGAAAACTGAGATGTTTCACTATACATAGAATCCTTCCACGCCTGAACCCAGAACAAACTCCTCAGTCAATATTCCTTTCACAAGAAAACTTTAATATTAATTTAATATTTACTAGGTTCCTACCAGAAGTCAGCCACTGTTCTTATGTGGGAAGATCGTTAACAAGCAAGCAAATCAATAAAGACACAAAGGCAAGAACCGAATAAAACCCTTATTGAGATGCTTTGCCATTTCTATTCTGTATGACAGATAACACAACATATCTGTCATATAGGCTAGGATAGAAATGGTAAAGCATCATAGCAACATGTGATGATGCAAAAAAGGAAACTTGAAAAGTCCCCATTTTATCTTAATATTCAAAATTTAGATCCCCTATCTAAAAAACAAGCTAAAGATAGCCCCTGGTTCTGATAAAATAACACAGCCAATGGAAAAGTTAACTCCTTGTATGTAAGGTAAGTAGAGACACAATAATATTCATTAAAAACTTCCAGGTAACAGGCTAAACAATTCTGACAATCTCTCAGTGGTATTTACTGACCACGGCTCCCTCCCAGAAATACTTTCCTTGACTTTCTTCATTTTTGGTTTTTCTTCTTCCACCTCTCCAATTCCTCCTCCTGACTTGAAAAACTCTTTCCTAGTCCTCTTTTGGTTTCAGGTCTCTCACAACAGAGTTCTCATAATCATTCCATAACTTCAATTGTCAAATCTATAGAAAGGTAAGGAACTCTCTCCACTCCTAATAATCCAAGTATTTGACTTAATACCTCAAATTCAACTCTAGAATACTAAACCTTAAATATAGTAAGTTTCATGTTTTTCTAATGATGCAACCATCATTTCCATCCCCCCGGCTTTGAATTATCTATTTGCCTGTTTCTCCTATATCATAAGCACTACTAAATGCTATCAATTTCTCTTAATGCCTTCCTATTCACAGTGCCCGCATTCAGATTCTTATTATCTTAAATCTCCTAAAATGGCTAGCCTTCCCGGACAAGAGTTTCTCCAATAGGTCTGGCAGACTAGCACCAGCTTAGTCTTTTTAAAGCACTGTTTCAATCACATCCTTAACCTTCCAGGATTTTCTAAACAAACTCCAATATGACACAGCTTTAACACTGGATTCTAAAATGTATTTCTATTTCTACCTCACTATTGCCCTAAATTAACCCTACCTTTTAGCTAATTTGGCTCTATTTTTTAGATTTTCAGCATTTTCCTCCACATCAATGCCTTTGATCACTTTTTCTTCTTTGCCTTCATACTGTTCCCCCTCATTTTTGAATACTGAATACTGGAAATGTGCCCCTACTTTGAAATCCACTCAAGGAATAAATCCTTCATGATCCCTTACATGACTGTCCAAGGGTAAAAGTAATTTCTATCTTCTGTACTTCCAGAGAATTTTTCATACAATGACTCAGGTCATAGATACTACTGTTTTTCCTTCCAGGTTAAGGGAAGAGTTGGAGCACTAACATCTACTGAAAATCCTCTAGCAGTCCATCTTATTCTTCCCAAAAAGTAAATCACATTTTCTTCCTCTTAATTTGCAGATGACAAAAGAGCTCAAAACATGGACATTAACTATCAGTAGAGCTATAATTTAAACTCATCTTTCATCCCTCAGAGCTAACTCCTTCCTAGTGCTTTCCACCACAGATGGTAATTTATCACCTACTACCTGCTAGAATACTATGCTAAGGGCCAGGGAAGTAGAAATAGAATCGAAACAGAAATAAATCAAAGACCACCTCTGTCTCCAAAGTACTGGATCTAGCTTACGGAATGGAAGTTAGGCCCAACAACTTGTGTTCACCTTCTTCTGAATACAAACCATGAACTTACATGCGTTCTTAAGTTTTCTTCTAAACTCCCAACACTTCAGAAAGAAAGTCCTATTCTAGTTTAGAATCCCAAAGCCAGAGGAAACCTAACTTCGGACAGTACCTGACATACATAAAAATATTTGAATACAAGAGAAGTTCATTCTACCTCGTCTAGCTTTCGTCAACCCTTAAGAGTTAAAAACCTGATCAGACAAGTCAAAGCCATTATCCCAAGGGCAGCAATTTTTTAAAAAGGACCGCCTAACAAGCTTCAGGATCCCAGAATGAGAGAAGCTAACTATGGCGGAATAGGGGGACTAGTAGCCATTGGAAGATATATACTCAATAGCGAGAACTAACTTTAATGAAAAGTAATACCACCCCAAATGGGGGAAATGGAGTAATCAGAAGACACAACACTGGGACTGAATACCCCAAAGGTTGCTTCCCTGTGAACCGTTCCGAAGCCAGCCAGCTTCCTCGGCCGCTGCCTCCAGAAGACGGCCACGTGCATGAGAGCTAGCTGTAAGCGCGGTAGCCTGTCTGTCCCGGACGAGAGCTAAAACCGAGCTCCGGTAACAGGCTACTCCGAAATTACCAAAGCTCTTATCAGGGAAGTAGCCCCAGGGAAGCGTGTAGAGCCGCAGGTGTAACCTGGATGTAAGCTCTACCTTGCAAACGGGGCCTGGGATACGGTCTCTCTCTTCTTCTTCCGCCTCTTCTGTCATGTCGCGCAGCTTAGGGGGCTGCTTGGCATCTTTTTCATTCCTTTTTGGTTTTTTCGCCTGAACCGCCAAGCCTCCACGCCGCTTCCTCTTGGTCGCCGCCATCTTGCCTGAACGTCTCAGGTCTTGGCTTTCCTTCCGGCTCTGCCGCTCGCTCCCCTTTCCGATCTCTATGGTACAGAGCGCTCGGCTCCGCAGTCCCCCGGCTCGATGGTACCTTTTTCCGGTTTCTGATGGCGCATGCGCGGCTCTCTAGGCCGCCTCTATCTCTGGGGTGACGGTGGCCGAGGTGGTTCTCTGGTCTGAAAAGAGTGGCGGGATCCGCTGCATTTTCTCCCCAGCTACCTGAGAGTCGTGGCTGGCTTCTTCGGTGACCTGGCTGCGAAGGGCTCTCGGGCGTCCGGATCCCGCTGGAAAGGTAAGGTTTCCGTGCCCGGATCCCGGGGTCAGGAAATAGATGCCGTTTCTTGACGGGTTGGGGAACGGGGTTGTGTGGGACTCCAGGATCTCCCGAAGAATGGGGGCCCGTCCTCCGCCGCCTGTTCTGTTAGGGGCAAGGTTGGGGGTGCCGGACAGCTCAAACCCGACTCTACGGGGACACGTAATCCAAGTTTGGGGGGACCGCCCCGTAGTGGAACTACCTCGTTAGTTACCGGTTCTCATTGTTCACAACTTTTTCTGTGTTACTGATCCCTTACTAAAGGCGAGGAAATCGTAGCTTAGAGTGAAGAGTAATTTTCCCCCAAAGTTACAGAGAGTTGAAGAGGCAGAAATGGGGTGCCACCGGCAGAGTTCGATGCCCAGGCCTCGCCTCAGCGAGGGTTGACATCGCGGGCCTTGCCCGCATTGACCGGAGCTTTATTGTGGAATTTCATCAGGTGTTTCGTGTTCCTCGGCAGCAAGTGTTGGCTCCGGAAGCCTCCCTTGGGACCAATGTGCAGTGGACGATGCCTCTCCTAACCCCACAGATCCAAGACGAGAATGACTACAGCTTAGTGGCCAGCCTTGACAACGTTAGGAATCTCTCCACTATCTTGAAGGCTATTCACTTCCGAGAGCATGCTACGTGTTTCGCTACTAAAAATGGAATCAAGGTTACAGTGGAAAATGCAAAGTGTGTGCAAGCAAATGCTTTCATTCAGGTATGGAAATAGGCATCTTTTAAGTGATTTGCCAACAGTCCCACAGTTGGCAAGTGGCTGAGTTGGGATAAGAACCCAAACATTTGTTTCCAGTATATGCTCTTGACCAGTATTTCCATTTTATTGGTTATAATGTGTCCTTACAAAGCAATATATGTATGGTTCAGATAGGATTTCAGATTTAATCCAAAATTTCTTTTTAAGATTTTATTTTTATATATATATATAGAAAGAGAGCACACAAGCAGGAGAGTGACAGGCAGAGGGAGAGGGAGAAGCAGGCGCCCTGCTAAGCTGGGAGACAGATGCCATGGGGGCGTTCAATCCCAGGACCCTGGAGTCATGACCTGAGCTGAAGGCAGCCACTATTAACTGAGCCACCCAGTCGCCCCTAATCCAACATTTTTTTTAACACCAAAGTGCACAGTGTAACCTCAGGTATAGAGGGATAGATAAGACATGGTTCCTGCCTCAAAAGAAATTGAAAACTAGTATCACTCATGCATTATCAAATTGTTTGGCTATTTTCCATATGACTTTAGCACTGTTGACGGGCAAAAGATGAGACAAGGAAAAGTCCTGTGGGCAATAGTTTAGATCAAGAAGCTAGGTGAAAGACTTTCATAAAGTTTTGCATGGTACTGAAGTCAGTTACACCTTTAACTACTGAGTAGTAGCATTCTAATGGTAATAGTTGAAAAAGCTGAAGATGTTTTGATGGGTAATCAGAAATTATTTTCATGGGGTCAGCACAATATTTTTAAAACAAATAAAGTGAAATCTAGAACCTTGTCTGTGAGTTTTCATTAATATATATGCATTTTCATTTTTACTTTTCTTCACAGGCTGGAATATTTCAAGAGTTTATAGTTCAGGAAGAGTCTGTTACTTTTCGAATAAATTTAACTGTCCTTTTAGACTGTTTATCAATTTTCGGATCAAGTCCTATGCCAGGTGAACCATTTTATTATCATAATGACAAAAAGCAAATGCTCAGAAAAATACAGGAAAGGTTATTAGAAGTAAGAAACATATCTTGGAAATTGCAAATTCATTTCTCACTGGTCACAATCATGGATTCTAACTTTTCACATTAATAGAAAGTATAGTAGAAACTATAGTTCTTTTCCTATTTGCAAAAGTATTTATAGTAATCTTTTTTTAATTTACAAAGTTTGGGGGTTTTAAATTTGAACTGACCAAGAGAAGACTTTGAATATGTGTTAATTAACTTGAACATTGCAAAATATGTATTAAATGCTTTTTTTTTTTCCCTAACCTGTTCAGGATTACAGTTTAGTGGCCAAGAAAAAGAGAAACCAATTCTCCTCACACCTAGTTTACTGTGTTCAAAATGTGTTTGCTGTTATTTCTTTAATCCTGTTTATAAATTGTCTATTTCCTGAAATGTTCAAAATATATGTTTCATTTTTTTAGGAATAGTGAATTCAGTTGCTATGGATATAAAACTACAAGGAATCCCCCAAAGAATGATTTTATTTCACAGGAATCTAGAGATTAGCTAGGGAAAGCTCAGTGTGGTTCTTTAGAAAATATATTTTAATTTTGTACTGAAAATTCCGTTATTATCATACATTTTCCTAATGCAGCATTCCCTAGCTGGTTTTTCATAAAAGCATCTGCTTTCCCTCATTCCTCATGGTGGCTCTCCATCCAGTAGAAGAAAAGGAGCTAGAATGTCTAGTCCTATTCCTCCTCCTCTCTAGTGGTTTGTAGTGTTAAAACCCACACCACCATTAACCACCCTCTCTTTTTCTCCTAGTTTGAGGAAATGTACATAATATCTCCCAATAGGAAAGGTTGGAAAGATCCTTATCACAATGAATACACTGATATTATCGTACTGACAATATCAAAGTAGTCCACTGTTGCACACCTTGCACCTTTAAGAAAGAGCATAGCTTGTTCTGCAGTAATTCTGTTACTTGCAGTAATGGTCCATGTAGAATCTCCATCCTGGAAATTGTACATATATAAAATCAGTAAGCTATTTCTGAGGTGTTTTGGCAAGCTGGAAAATGATTTCAAAGAGTTATGTTTTGTTTTCTTTGCCAGTTTTATTTATTGTTTGAATTGTCTACATGTAACTGTCATCAGGGAAAATATGATCCCTTTTTAGAAAGAGATGCATACATATGTGCTAGAAATTGGGCAGAGTAAAATAATCTTCGGGAGTTTTATGTATCATTTAAGGAGAAGTGGAACGTGCATTATAAAGCTGAGCCCAACATATGATTTATTTCCACTGCAGGAACTTTAACTGCACTTCGGATGTGTTACCAAGGTTATGGTTACCCTTTGATGCTATTTCTGGAAGAAGGAGGAGTGGTGACAGTCTGTAAAATCAATACTCAGGAGCCTGAGGAGACTCTGGATTTTGATTTCTGCAGCACCAATGTTATCAATAAGATTATTCTGCAGTCAGAGGGGCTCCGTGAAGCATTTTCTGAATTGGATATGACAAGTGAGGTGCTACAGATCACCATGTCTCCCGACAAGCCTTATTTCAGGTACTTGAACGCAGGGCAATGAAAATTAATACTGTAGTCTACTCTCTCTCCCTGCTTACACATTTGCTTAGGATGCAGAACTTATTTTCCAGGTTCTTAGAATTTTCAGATCTTTAGAGAGCTTTTACTCTTACTTCATAGTTTTATAGATCGGGAAATCTGCGGTCCAGGAAGATTAACTCAGTATTTAAAGCTTCATAGTTAGGTAGTGTTGGTTGGTAGGTGAATAGCCCTGTCTCCTACTTCATAAACTAGTGGTCTTTTCATTGTACTGCTTACCACTTACTGCTTACAGATAGACATTACGAGGAAAATTTGGGGTTAAACTTTTGGCAAAGGTGTTTGTATCATGTGGTATCTTTTTCTTCCCTTTCAAGATAGTATAGGATGCAAAAGGAAGCCAATGTTTTCTATACATATTCACTCTCTATCATTCACTATCTATTAGTCACCTGCTGTGTGCATAGCTACCTTTTTAAGCACTTTGGAAAGGAATGGCTTAAAATCAAGGTGAAGAGAATATAAGTGAAACAGCATAGAAGGAATGGAATTGTGTGCCACTAAGTACCAAAATAATACACAGAGACGCTTAGAGAACAGTACCTGAGTAATGAGGGGGGAATTGATCGCTACAAGCTTCCTGAGGGAGGGCAATTTTCAGCAGAAATACAATGTCAGAAACTCTCAAGCTGCTCCTAATGTTTTGAACCAACAAATTATGAAATTTTCAGGATTAGAATCAATTTGGAAAGAGGATTTAAATAGTTTTCTTTTGAATCACATCAGAATATTAAAGAATAAAGGAGCTAAAAATACATAAGGAATGAGAGGTATGTTCTTTTTACATCTACTCCAGAAAAGCAGCAGGCCCTTATCATGACATGCAGCAGTTAAAAATTTGGCTCAAGACTGGTTAAAATATTAACCAAAATGGAAATTCTACTTAAGCACTGATGGGAATTAAAATTCTGGGCACTTAAACAGTATATTTCAGAGATGCCCACCTAAGGGGTATCTCTCCACATAGGTGACTAGATAGATCTTGGTATCTTTCATCTCCCGTATGGGAAATGATTTCGTGGTGGGGAACTAGGAGTTGACTTTTTTTTTTCTGGATTTGTTCAATTTGAGGTGTCTCAGACCCTCGGGAGTACTTGGACATACAGAGTTCAGGACGTCCATCTAGAATGGCAGTGGAGATGTGAAAGCCTCATCCAGGCTGGCTACGGACGGGATGGCTCAGAGAAGAGGTTAGTTAGAGGAGAGAAAAGATGGAACCTGAGGAAGACCAACACCTAGGTCTTCTGTCACTGTGCTCACATGGTACTTACCAGTGTGTTAACCGCATAACAAATGATGATGGAAAAATTCTTGCAGATTAAACAAACATAAACATTAACAAGTTGCTAAACACAAACTGCTGATCCCGCCAAGCTAGGAAAAGCGCGCGGCAGCCTAAAGAGCAGTGTGAGATGCGGAAGAGCCAGAATTCCGGGCTGTGGCGGTGAGGACGGCGAGCAGGACCCGAGGCTTGCCCATGATTCCGCTCAGGGTCTGCCATCACTCCTCAAACTCTCTCTCCTTCTACGTATTTTTGATTTAAGGGTGAGGAAACGTCAGTGTAAAGAGTAGAATTAAGCTAATGAAACTGAGGCAAACACCCCTGGATTCCTTTGGTGATTGATTTTTTCCGAAGCTGTTTATTAGTTGCTAGATCTTCTGAACTACCACAGCATCCTGCGGGAATCTTTATTACTATAATTGGTAGTGTATTGTGAGCATTTGTTTATATATCTCTTTCATTCACCAGAATGAGCTTCTTAAGGAGGTGTCTTTACTGAGATCCTAATACGGCTTATTGTTGGACCAATGAATAAATGAATTTCTCTCTTTTTTAAAACTATAGGTTATCTACTTTTGGGAATGCGGGAAGCTCCCACCTTGATTATCCCAAAGATTCTGATTTGATGGAATCATTTCATTGTAACCAGACCCAGGTCAACAGGTCAGTTCTTAATATATTGGTGGTGAAGGTGAGGTTGAATATCACATATCTATTAAATAAACGTGAAACTTTCAATCTGTTGCTAAAGGTATAACATCCTAAAGATATAAATAGTAGGGTACTGGGTTTACTTGGGGACTTGGGGTTGTGACAGTGATTGAAATTTTATAAACAAAGATATTAGCAAATTGGATAAGTATTTGATTTTATCCTTATGTTTGTTACTTGGTAGTTTTTGGCTAATTTTTGTCCTTTACTTGGAGTTATGAGCACTGCTTCAAGTGTGTCCGAATAACAACTGCTTTTTATTTATTCCTCTACAGATACAAGATTTCTTTACTGAAACCTTCTACAAAGGCCTTAGTCCTGTCTTGTAAGGTATCTATTCGAACAGATAACCGAGGATTCCTCTCATTACAGTATATGATTAGAAATGAAGACGGACAGATATGTTTTGTGGAATATTACTGCTGCCCTGACGAGGAAGTTCCGGAATCAGAGTCTTAAGTATGGCCTTCCCTGTGACCCCCACCTGAACATTCATGATAGGTCACTTTCTCATTCTGGGTATGTAGCATTTCCAGGAGTCTGGGTTTTCTAAAGGAAAGGAGCATGAGGGAGATAGGAATAAGGTTCATGTACTCAAAGAGTTGCTGTATATTTTTTAAGTAAATGTTTCATGTAATCATAGATTACCCACTACTGGACTGTCCTGGGGTTGTCTTTTGAACTCCTCATCATGAGCCAAGATGAATAATCTATTTAAGTGAGACATTTCAAGAGTCTAAAAATGTAAAGTTCCATGAATCCATACCGGAAATGTTCTTTTATTTATTTACTATTAGAAAAAGCATCAACGTATGGGCATTGCTTATTAGTTTGAATTCTGAAGAATATATCTTAAACGTGGTTCTCAAGGTGTGGCACCTAGACCAACAGCATTCAGTATTACCTGGAAACTTGTCAGAAACTCTGGAGGTGGGGCAACAATCTGTAGCCTAAGAAAACTTTCCTGCAGGAAATTCTGATGCATGCTAATGTTTGAGAACCACTGTTTTGAAGGATGCTTTTTGTTGTTGTTGTTTTAATAGTATTTAATTGCACTGAAGTGATTACTTTTGCATGTGATTTCTTCCCTGATGTTCTGAAGTTTAGGCTTTGCCAAACAAGTCTGAGTAATTACATGATTTAGTTTTAAAGTATACATTTTCAAGAAATCAATGAACAAGATATAAAACAGTCTTCAGAGTTACAGGATTTCTTCTTGTTCTCTGCAACTGTTCAGTGCAGTAAGTACTGTAGTAAGTACTTACTAGATATCTTCTGTTTGCTTATAAAAGTTTCTCATCCAAACCAACATGGAGAAAACCAGTTAATAAGTGATTTTGCACTTTCTTGGGTAGTTTTCCATCAATTTTTATGGCATGTCGATATTTAATAAAATGAAATACTAAAATTATCTGCCTTATTTTCTAGTAGAAAAAAACTACATAAATAAAGGTCCTGTACCGTGTGATACAGCTCAGTGTTGGGCAGGCGCTGTTGGCCTTTGTGGGTGGGACAGTTCTTCATGGGGAAAAAATTCACCCCATTGCAGGATTCATTTAGCCTCCCTCGCCCATACCCACTAATGCCAATCCTTGTGACCTGTGATCCCCACCCCTGCTATTGATGGTTAAGAACCATTGAATAATATTCATCAAAAACATTCATCAAGGGGTATATTTGGAATGCCCTACCTTAAAATAGGCCACATGGCATGAGAGGAGATTGGTTTGGAGAGTAGTTCAGCAAAGCACTCCCAGAACAGTTGTGGGCTCTGCTCCCCAGCACATGGACAGCTCTGGGTTTTGAGCCCAGAGTGACTCCCTGATCATTTCTGAGCCCCCCAAGTCATCTCAGGATGCTGGCAGGCGCTAGAAGAGTTGGAGTTTTATAAAGTATGGTACATGTTCAAGAGAAAGTGGATGAATCTACTAGATGCTGTGCACACACTTTTTTAGATAAACATCAAGGACAGGACAAATATAAAAACCTAGTTATGAAATATTTAATCAGTCAATTTCAAGGACTATAATTTTCCTTTAAAATAGGGCAGTTATTTTCAGGTTTTGTTCAGTGGTATGTTCTGTACCTACAACAGTGCCTTGTATGTAACATATTCAACAAATACTTGTTAGATGAAAGAACCTTATTTCAGATTATCTTTTAGCATCTTATTAGTCACTGTCATTTCAGTTATTTAGCTCTGAATTGATTTTAATCCAATATATTTTAAAAGTTAGACCTGTGAAGGATTTAACATATATATTGGCTTAATAGGGAAAGATTGACTTTTTGCACATTGAAGACCATCATTTTAGCCGCACATTTCTTTAGCTCTTTAGAATTCATAAGCTAATGAATGTAATTTTTTCTCACCCTAACGGAAAGGTACTGATCTAACAATTTCATGTTCAGTGTGTTCCCTCGGACCTAGGAATTTACTAATTTAACTTTGTTCAAATTCCTATGATGGTCCGCTAGGGGGAGTGCTTTTGCAGCCGGACCAGGACGCGTTGGTGATGGCAAATTCATTTCATGTGTCACACACAGAAAAATAAAATTTATTTTTAAGACCTTTAGTTTTGCCTTTTTGAAGTTTATCTCATTTTCTTATTAAATTGTGCTTACTACAGGAATGGGTAGTTAATCTTTTTCTCCATTTTTAATGTTTTTCCCTGTTTGATGATGGTGTGCTTCCACCTGGAATTAATGAAATGATTCAAAATAAAAATAAAAGGAGTTTTAAAATTCTACTTTTCTAATAAAAATAGGTCTTGTAACACAATCACTTGTATAAGAAGCCACAGAGGTTTTGTAGTGTATCAGTTTTGTAGTGCTGGTAAGAATTCGTTACAGTTGCTGAGAGGGCAGCATCTGGCATTTGTTAACAGTTTAGGCTGCGGAATCTTTCTGCACAATGTACTCCCTTCTTCCCTTCCATGTCGTCACACTGACTTCCCCTTCTCCCCATGGGAAACAAAATCTACTGGATCCGGAAAAACTGGGGAAATGGTATATTATTTCTTCTCCTAATTCTGTCATGGGTAGCATTTGCACACACAGGTCGGGTTCCACGCACAGCCGGTGGCAGCAGACAGCTCTCCCGCGCATTTCTGTCTCCAGCAGTGACAGTTAGTGTCCTGCTCAGAGATGCCATAGGCAGCTGTTCCACGTGCTTGTGCTATCCACAGCACAGTTCCCACCAGAGATTTTGATAATTAGTAAATGTTTCAAGTTGGTATTACTTTTGAAATTAATAGCTTGTTGATCAACATAATAGATAATAGTAGTGGCTCTCATTGGCAAAACTAGAGATATCCAGGATGTGTGGAATGATTAAATTCCCTCAGAGTAGTTCCCCATGCGTGCATGGAAAGCACATAAGAATCTAATGAGGCTTGTAGCCTGTATGTTTAGGCTTGGTGCCTAAGGCTTGACCCCTAAAGGGTCTTGCTTCCTGCCATCTTGTCCAAAGACTTCTGGTTGCTTGTTGCTGACTGGATTAGGACAGTCTCACCTCTGGAATATTGTCAAGTTTGCCTTACGTGGGCCTTTCATGGAAACTGGTGGGTGAGCTACCAAAAGAGAGAAGTGGGGCTTGACTGACCTCAAGGAATAGGTTGCATGTATGCTTGTGATAAATGTTTATTAAAATCTGTATGTGGAGCAGTTTGATCTGGGCTTGATTTTTTTTTCCCCTTTTCTAATTTGTTGCAGAGATTGTAGGAAAATAGCTAACCCCCAACCACCTCAAAAATTTCAGTGCCTGTTAGCTAATTTTAAAAGAATCTAAAAGTTGTGAATTAAAACTAGCTACCATTCATTATCACCACCATTTCATTAAACATTTTAACATCAAAATCTCACAAAATGGACTACTAGCAAATTTACACTGACAGTAAACACTGGAAATATTTAAGTATTTAAAACTAATTTCAAACGCAATAACAGGATCGCACCATAACATTTTATTTCGCAGTGTTACACTTCATGCTAATGTTTTACTGATACAGGTGTGTCAGTCGAGATCTTAAGATGCTGGGGTCTCCCAAAATATTAGTTCTAAAAATTTTAGTGACATGCAAAGTGGAGTCCAAATTGCCACTTCTGTCTGGTACTTTTGTTTTTTATCACAGTCATTGTTGTAAACCCATTTTCATCTGGATATGTAAAAAAGGAAGCAACTCTTCTAAGGCGACTTTAGTCCAGAATATTCTGGGTCAGAACAGCAGGCCCGTCTCCAGGCAGGACAAAATTAGCAAGGACAGATTGCGTGACCAGTTCACAAGCACTGCAGTAAAGGTCAGTGGGCGATAGCCGTCTCCAGCCAGGGCTGCAGTCTGAGACCTTAGTCCTGAGTGCCAAACTGAAAGCTCTCTGCGAATCAGCTAAGGGAGAACACAGCTGCAGGAGGGAGACTACCAGTCTATAGACAAGTCATTGGATTACTCACCACTACACCTTGCTCGGGGTTCTGGTTGATCATTAGGTCAGACTGAACAAAGACTGAAATTTAAAAATAGTAATTTTCTGAATGAAGAACCAAAATGTTCTTATAAGTACTGAGTGAAGGAGAGATGTTAGAAGACACTTGGATCCCAAAGATAGTCTTTGAGCTCCATTAAATCTGCCAACGTAACCGAGAATCGATGAAAAGGGAAAATAAGTTTCTTATATTATAAACTCACAGGAATCTGATTTTTCTCCCTAAGTAGGTGAAGAAGACAGTAAAGAATATAATCTGAGATTGCTGATTTATTTTCCTAGATACACATTTGTTCAGGGGGTAAGGATTTTTTTTTTTAAGCACCTTGAACATTCCTTCTCTTTAAATCCAGTTTGGGGTTGAGGGCAGCAGAGTGGGATGGAAGATGTATGATTCAGGAAGTCAGCTTTATAATCACTAGGCTGACCTTGAACAAATCAGTCTCTCTTATCCCTAGTTTCTTCATTTATAATAAGAAATAATAATAAAAAAATAGTAATAAAAAACCCCCTCTGACCCTTCACGTGGCATGAAACCAGGGCAAATGTTTCCAGAAGATCAAATGTTTCTTCACAGGGCAGTTTTAGTGACCTGAAACAGGTTATGACTAAAACTACTTCCAAACACTATATTAAAATATCCACCAACAACTTAGATATTGCAGAATCTTCTTTAAAAGCCAGAACTGAAAAGAATGAAATTTGAGCTATAAAAGGGAAGTAAGAAAGGTATTGGAATCCCAGTCCCTAAGAAGCTAAAAGCATCAGGCTAAAAAAGATTTCTGACCACCGCCTCCCCACCCCAAGTTATCGATCAGGATCATGTGTTCTAACGGCCCCTGGGTATTTTACCTGTAATGCTGCTGCTCAGTAGACCATTTTTTCTTTTTTTTTTTTTTTCTTTACAGTCCTTAGTTCCACCTTTGATCTGCCATTGCTGTCAGTGTTAATAAATACATCTTGTGGTCCAGAATTTTTGTTATCAACAGGTTGGCTTTATTGTTGGCTATCTTAGTATAGAGGTTTTTCTCTTAACGATAACAGAAGACCTAAAGGAAAGGAGGAAAGCATTTGTGCATTTTCTTTGTTTTTGCCATCTCTTCCAGATCCAGATCACTAATTTATTAAGCTAGAAGGCTGGACTGAGTCTGAGGCAACGGACGATTTCACTATGTGCCCATCCCCCTAAAACGCTAACTCTTCTAATAGGCCTCTAAAATGATTCTAGAGTCTTGGTTTTTCTCCCTAAAGAGCAGGGAGCTCTTCCTTCAGTTCAGATAGCAGCCAAGGATATCTTAGATATCTGGATTGCTTTTAATCACAGCTGAAAAATTTGTAGAATTTAGGGTCTTTTATATTCATAATTTTCAGGTGGTCTCTCCCCATGAACACACAGATCTTAGAGCCCAGAAGCCCTGTTAAGTGCTACAAAGAGGATCTTTCTTCCCCATTTCCAGCCAATAAGATTCCCACACTCTGATTTCCTAATACTGAAGAAGTCAGGCTAGTTAGAAGTAATCTGGTCCAAAAGAAATCTGGTCCAGAAACCTGGTTTCTATTAAGTGTTCTTCAGTCATCTTCTATTTAGACCTCAAGCCTGCAAAGTGTGGTTTTCATAACCCCTATTTGCCTGAAAAAAAAAAGTATTTGTTCCACAGAAACATGAGATGCAAAATTTTATGAGACTTTTCTTACATGCAAGTTCCACTAAAGACTGATTCATTCTCTATCTACTACTGACTGCATAAAATACAGAAAGCTATCTGGCACTTTAACTTCCTTCTCAGTAAACCACGAGATAATGTGATTTCAAATCTGAAGAACTAGGCACAAATTAAGTCAATGGCCCAGGGTCTCATAAACTCAGAGGTGGGCCAAAATCTGAGAGACCTCTGCTGGTGATAGAACTAGAAGTCGGCCTGGGCCTGC